AGAGGGATATCTACCATTTTTTATGGCTTTTATAGCTAATAAAAGGCGACCCTCCTGCTCTGTCAACTTGTTCTTTTTATCAGAACTTTGGGGAGGCATTGTTGTTGTGATTAAAAAATATGTACAGTAGATTTCGGAAACGGCTTCCCCTAAAAACACTCGCGGCTGGTTTATTGACACTCACTTTGGGGGGCATCACTGCTTCTGTGTGTCTTGAATCATAGTTTCAATTCCATCCAAACTCGACATCGCACATTTTTTTCGAGCTTTATTTTAACATAATCCATTCGTTAAATATTTGAAAAATAATGAAAATCTCCTGAGAATCAAAGATCGTGGTTGAATCAGGCATATGGGATGACGAATCTTACCCGGGTCACTAGTAAAGTTGTGCCTCTTTTGTCGACACTTTATTTTAGTATCAGCCAGATCAGATAGAAATACACATCGCAAGTGCCGTGCAATGGCCTCATTGGCTTGTTCAGTACTAGTGCCTGCATCCCTCGGATCCGACAGATTACTGTCCCTTTAATATTATACTACAATATAAGGGGGACACAGAAAACATAGCAATTTTTGCTAGCAATCGAAAGATAGTGAATGCCATACAGGCCCGATATATTCCTTCAGTGACTATGCTAAGATCTGCTATTTCACGAATTCCACTGTGCACCAAAGTGAACTAAGTAGGCGCGAAAGTGTTCGTATTATCACGAGAACATCGACGACTATTCTCCAAAAGCTGCGCCAGAGCTTCCCATCTGTTGTATTGACGAGCCGGAGCACAGGGGACGGGGAGGTCTCTGTCAACTGGCCGAGCAGAGGCTATGGAGCTATAATCGTGAGGCGTTCGAACAAGAGTAGACTTGGGGCGTGTTTTCTTTCACCAATCAGCAGCAAATCACTGATTCATCATGTCAATATAGTCTTACCATATCTTCCTTGGAGGGCGGAGGGGTATCTGGATCAGAGTGATATGTAAAAATCTGACCATCAGGCAGTTCCATGATGAGCCAGCTTTTCATCATATAGAAGCCAAAATTCATTGTGACGCCGTAATAGATTGTTGCTCCGCTTGCGGAGTTGCTCTCGCTTGACACGACTTAGAGCAGGCGCCATCTGTCGACTAATTTACTGCAATCAAACAGCAGTTTCCCATGGCTGCCTGCAGCCTTTATTTATGTTGCAATACCATGGCCTAAGCATCGAAGGTGACTTCAACGATGTTCACCGCATGCGCAGATTTTCGAAACGATTCTCACCTGTTACGACTTTAATTGCGGGCTAGATTAATTGCGGGCTAGGAAATTCAAGAGATGAGGCTCGACGTTGACGTGCAAGATTGACATTTTCTATCCCCAGCATGAGACATAAAGCAACAATGTGAGTCTATGTGCCTTTGATCTTGCCGCAAATCCTAATATTTGATACATGGTATCATATCAGCGATTTAGCAAAGACCCAAAATATTGAACTAGTCAGCTTATATCATCAGTATGAGACTAAGCGGAGAGACGTTTTGGTCTTCCCATGCTTGATTGATTTCACATTAAGCATGTGAATCAACGTGCAATGGAAAGAAACAACTACCGCCCAGCAAACGTATGTATTGTACAAGCCTCTATCCCGACTTCCTCATGTTTTCTACGGCATCTCGAGATTAGTTGTTGCTTTTCTGGATATATAGCTGACAATGGGACTCTGTGTATGGGCGGTCTTGCTGCTGAGATGAAGACGGATCAAGCCAGCGGGGCCGTTGCATGTGATGTTGTTGTATGGAAACAGAGCCCGCAAAGCTTTCACCCGGTTTGAATTACCGGTAAAGTATAGCAGGGACGGGTATTGACATTTTGGATAGGGCAATTCCTGCACAAGTTCTCCCAGACGGTTGGTATCCACTAAATCCCATACTCCATTGTCGCTGACGAGATCAAGCCAAGCAGCCATTAGATAATTAGATGGAGTGGCAGATATAAGGAAGAAAGGGGATCTGCTGGAGGCTTTGTACTTGCGCACTCGTCTGGAAATGTTGCAGCGGTCCAATGTGTCACTGGACCCTCAGATTGGAACTGGCGTGGTCGTTTCTCGTCTCAGAATCTTATCTCAGGCAAGAATATTTGGGCGCCAGATTTCTTTTTTGTTTGCATCTGCAAACTGCTGTAGTCTGAATCAAGTTTCCAAAAAGTATCACTTTCTGTCGGAGGCCTTTTTTGGGACGTAGGTCAACTGCAAGGCTCACCGCGAGTCAAAGCTGCGGCGTCCTCTATTTTAGAAAGGTAGCAAAATTGAACTGCGGACTATATAATACATGTCTAAAGCTCTTTCTTGGTTTGTGTTTCGTGATAGTCCCTAACATTCTTTGGTCATTACCTCTGTGGGCATTCTCCCAAGTAAGACAGGTAAAATGAGATCAAAAAGGATTTCCCTCCCTTCCTGCAATGAAATCTGCGCTCGTTCCGTTCCGCCCAACTGAAAATGTGACGCCTGTTCTGTCTAGAACCAGCCAGATTGACCGCCCGATTGAGACTACCTATGTCAGAATGCTTAGGGAAGAGGCAGGAATGGACATCAGCTTCAATATCACGGTCGGTGTGGCTAATTGGGCACTGCTAGCCGGCTATCTCGTCATCCCCGGCACGTTCACGTCACTACAAACTTCGAATCAGGTTGAAAAGACTTTGCAAGTCAACAAGGCCGGTCGTACCGTTCTGCATACCATCCAGAACCCCCCATTACTCGGGATTGCGTGCCTTCTTCTTGTTAGTGGCGTTGGAGCTTTCATGTGGCTGCTGCACTTCCCAAAAATCAGGGGCAACTACATATGGCTGATCAATAGACTATTTACGTAAGTGAGCAAAGCCGTGAGAAATATTTGGAGAGCGCAGGGCTCAGGACTAAAACTGAACTAGACCTCTATCCTTGAATGCTGCCGCCGGGCTGCTGACCACTGTCATCAACGTGTGTGCGTCTCAAGGTGGAGACTGGTCGGTAATGGCAATTGTAACAACTACTGTAACTGGAGCAACTCTTTTTGTCTGTTTGGCACTCTTGGCGATTTACAAATTCTACAAGTTGGAGAAGATTATAAAAGAAGATGAGTATATCAGGCGTTCAGGCTGTGATCACAAAGTGATGTCAAGTTTTCAGACTGGAGAGGGCCATGTTCACGTTTGACGATGGTTTTGGTTTTTCATGCCGACTGGTCATGCAATACTTTTGGTTTGGTTAGAGAGTTCGATATTACCGTTCTGGTCCCTATTCGATATTGGTGACGCATCTCTGTCATGTAATAGTACTAGTCCCACCCCAAAGGGCGGAAAACTTTGTGCTTAAGTGTCAAGGATTTTTCTGCACAGTTGTTCTGATTGCTCAACAGAATAAGAGTCGGTTGGAGGCCTTTCTATGACGCCATCCTTGCCCACGAAATTCTGGAAATGAAACGCGCTGTCAGGTATGAAATTTGTCTCCCGTAGCAGATGTTCAGTACACATGGAATTTTGCCGCTTGAAAACCTGCTATTTGGCTCCATCAACTTCCTCAGATTGAGACCGGTCCGATACATGAGTTCTTGAGGTCAGCGCATCTGGATGCTTTGGCCAAAAGCCAAGCGAAAGTCGCCGCAATTAACTCTCCAATGAGGAATTATGGTGCTTCAGTGCTCATACTCTTGGCCCCCTACTCTTCCTCATGAATCAGCAGGCCTCACTCGTTGTTTGGCTAACGGGGTGGAATACCTCCAAAAGTAAAAGTCAACGATGTATTTCCAGACACAAAAAGTGATGATACTCAAAGCCTAGGCTTCAGAAATTGTCCATAACATATGGAGCTCATTTTACCTTGTCTCTTTATTCTGAGACAGATTTCAATGAGCTAGAGCGTAGCTAAGTTGATGCTACTTTCTTTTTTGAAAGTTGAGCACATTCAACAAACCTGAGGGGCACGAATTTACTTGAAACTCACGGTCAAGTATCCCGGCCTCGCGTCTTCACCAAGGCATCGCCTAATATCTCGAAAGGCATAAATACCCGCCATCGACCGCGTGAATCATTTACTTTTTGCAGAGAACATCGCGGCTGGTCATTCAATATGGCATCAAATAGTGGAGTTACTAAAAGGCCTCCCACCAAGGGCAACAACTCTGACCTCCCTCAAATGGAGGAACGAGCAAATAATGGCCTGATAGTTCCTGGAGTGATGGAACGTGCAGCTGCACAGGCGTCTATTTCGCAGGGGCCTCGTCCAACAGACAACTCGTCACACACACACCATGGCGGTCAGCTTGACGGCAGTGGTCCGATTGACCAAGCCAATTCTTCGCCGCCATCGAACAGTTCAGTGGTGGAGTCTGTCGAGAGAGATGACACCCCGATGCATGATGCTGGCTCGGTAGACCAGACTGGAGCCGGGTCAAGACCGAGTGGTCATGAACGCCCTCCTGCAGCCGGCCATTCGCAGAATCAAGATGATTAGTCTCGCAGTGCCCAAGGTACCGCCGAGCCCCATGATCCAGAGCTTCTAGCCACCCTTGATTCCCCGAATGATGACGAGGAAAACGACGCGATTGTGGATGGATGGGGAAATCTGCGAGGATCAACCTTTGTCATTCTCCAGTACGGACCTCGCCATGGAGCCAGATACAAACTTAAATACAGACATGGATATACCAATGACCACATGAACCACATTTCTCAAGTTTTGCGGATCTCCCAGATCAAAGTTAGTCCAGGGAGCAAAATCTGGCGGTATACCAAAGACAATGTTGTCGGGATCTACGGTGTTGTCTCGGAAGAAAAGAAATCGGGCAAGTCTGATCCATGTACTTGGCTGAAGATCAAATGGAAGGACCTGAGGTCAGAAGATACAGAAAAAATGCAACATTCTTGTTCTTGGATTCCGAGATCCGATTTCAAACGCTTCTGCAATGGCAAGCGCGCAGCAGACGCAAAAATCAAGGAGGTCTGGGAGGAACAAGAGAAACGATACCACCGCGTGCTTCAGAGCGACGCTGGAAGACGCACTGAAGATCGATCGCCCACCCCTTTCCCATTGGGCTCAGCAGCGAGGCCGTCACCTGAGCGACAGGTCAGTTCGCGCCTCAGTGCGCCTGCGATACAAATCTCATCTCCGAGACAACATGAAGTGCCCCCTTCCTCCACTGCACATTTCTATACGGGACATGGGTCGCCAGCGAGCCCGATCAACCTTGACGTAGGTGAGGCGAGTCACACCTCAGCCTCCTCCGGAGCTTCTTTGAACTCGAACACCAGCGCCATGCAGAACAAGTCGGACGGGGCGATTGGCCAAAGAGCCATACGCACGGAAGCGGAATTCATTGCAGAATGGAAGGAAAAGAAGGGATGGGATAATTTAAATGATATCCAGAGAGAAGCATGCTTGACGGTGGCGCAAGCCATGTATGACCTGTACAAGGACACGATTGCTGGGAATAACCAATCTCAAGACTCGGTCGATTCTCCAATTGGCCAACGACCAGGAGCAGTCATCGCCGCCCATTAATGCTTTGCTTTCGTCTAGATTGTTAACCTTGAATTGGGTATGAGGGGGGGAGGTTAGATTTGCCCCATCGATAAATTGATTTGATACATAGACCGATAGACAGCTTTTTTTTATTTCAAATTGAAACTCTGATTTTTTTTCTTGTTTTGCTCTCTTGTGGTGTTCAGATTCAAAAGAGAACACACAGACAGAAGTGATTTTACTTACTCATCCCTAGACAGTGCCGAGACGTTTGATTCTTGATGTTCTATTGTCAGCGCATGGAGTGGTAATTCACCACTAGCAAGCTATTGGTCACTAGGGACCCACACTTATTTGTGTTTTGTATGGTAAATTTGTTCAACTAGCAACCTCAGTGTAGTAACAGTAATCACCGAGTATCCACCATTCATGGGGTTATCAAACCTACCCTGCATCGCATGCTTATATCTTTTCAACGAATCAATCGTTTCATCCTGGATTGGTTCCGCTCGATCTCATTCGCCCCAAATTCATACTAGCCCATACCCTTTTAGCTTGTTCCGATATCTATCTACAGTACATCCATACTGCTACTCGGTGACGAACTTTACGAAGCCACTACGTATGAACAAAAAGGGAATGAGAATTAAAACCTTGGCCAATGGGAAATAATAACCTCTTAAGGAATTTGTTATTCTTATATAGATCATAGAAAATCTGACGTGATTGTACTCGAGGAGTGACCAACTCGATTCTCCAAGATAACGCGCCTTGATAACAACAAAAGCGAGCAAATACTACGATAAAACCACTGAGGAGCTAAGAGCCAGTACGAGAACATGGCAATACGAGGAGGTGAGGATGGTGAGGATGGTGAGGATGGTGAGGTGACCAGTTTCCAGACATAGCGCACAGCATAGTACGTAGGGTATAACATGTTCGACACCTTTAATGTATATCGGAAGTCTTCAAACAATGTCTAGTTCGAGTAAATCACGTTTAACGCAACGATGTAGCCTACTGTTGATGTCAACATGCAAGGAATAACGGTAGCTCTAGTGGTTTCTTCTCATTTCATTGAGAGGTCAAATCATAACTGAGCTGAAACAACAACATAAATATGAGTTCATTCCTGGCTCAAATCCTCACTCTCATTCTCTTGGAATATCTTTGGCTCCTCAATTCCACAACGATTACCTGAAAAGACTTTACCTTCCCGACAGTAGCCAGGCTAAGGTAAGTATCTCCACGAGGATTTCATTTCCACCCATATCCTTAACAGCTAAGATAAGGTCTAGTTAAGACAGCTGTACCTGTACCATTGGGAGGCTGGATTAAATTCATCGGGCGCTACTGCCATGCCGACTGAATTCTTAACGCACATCGGTACTTTTTAACCAAATTCACATGCACAATCTGAGTAAGTATCTCAATTTATGCCGATTGCAATGCTATGTTACAAGATTGACAAGTTACAGCATCGAAGGTTTTACAGGAGGCGACTCTGAGAGCAGCCCTACCACCAACACTTGGGTCAGAAACAAAATGGCGACCGCTCAAAGCACAAACACAACCGGATCGATAGCCTGGCACAATGCCTTCGTGCCATTGACTTTGATAATCCCGACATTCGCTCTGCCAACCACTAGTATGGTGGAGGCTGGTACAGTATCTGACTTGCCTGCTCCTACACAACTTGGATCTACAAGACCGTCTGAAGCATCTGGAAATGCGCCATCTTTGGCGACAGTTCGGGGGCTGGGCTTGTGCTATTCGATTTTTCTTACTGCGATGATCATTTGTCAAAGACTATGATTCATGTGGGAGCCTTTCATCAATCTGCAGGAAAGGATCGTACCCGTGAAGATCACTATGATAATTGACAAAGGATGACATGCTTTGTTTTCTCGGAGTTAGAGTGGCTATGTAATATTTTCAAGCCTGTAGAAATTATGGAACTCTGTAGAAAAAAGCCGAGTCCATCTGATCGGCCAAATGTGACTTCATCCTATTCAAAATCTAACAGCATAGAGTTCTTCTTGGTGATGTTCAGGCTTCGGAAGAACATCCACTCTGCCGTAGGCAACAGGCTCTTAGCAAGCTCAGATTTTTGCGTTTCCTCCTGAAATTTGAAATCCCGCGTGACATGCAACTTCAATGACATTTGTACTCGCCACCGGACACGCCCTGCTGTTCCGTCCATGTAATGTACTTCAAAACCATGCCAGGGTCACTCCACGGTATTGAAGCAAGGTAGCTGCCACAGTATCTGACAAACTGTTTGAAGGATCTGTATGTATTGGAAGTAACTGTAGTGACTATAGAGGTGGTTAGCAGATCTCGAACCGTGGGGACGTAAGCGGAAAGTACCTGTGGATGGCAATCCAGCATTGCCATGCAAGCTCTGTCTGCTTGGCCAACACTAGTTCTTGAATTCATTCAGGATAAGCAATTGACCTCTTTGCAGCAACATTAGGCACAAAAGTTCGCCAACCTCACTCGAGTACGCATTGACATCCGCCATCAAACTCTGGTTTTGCTAGATTCGATTACGACGCCTTTGTGATTCCCGAGCCCGATTCTCCGCCTACTCTCTGCGGCCTTGGAACCGGAATTTCCCACTCGTAGGAAATTCTCTTCACACTAGCGGAAGGAGCTGGCTTCCTCTTCAAGATCCGCGCTCCGAGTCACAATGGCTACTTCTGTAGATTCTGGTGGCACAGCAAGTTTTTAATCGATCTATCAAATGTTATTGGGGATCAAGTGTTGTCAGGTAGAAACTTACAGTGCTCGAGGGACGAAACGCTTAGATGTCATCTTGTAGGGCTCGGATTGCTGCTGAGGATATAAGATCAATCGGCTCATCCGGAGCAAAGGAGCACCATATATGTTAAGTATCGCGGAACAAACGGCACACTAAGCATAGCTCATAGCACTCTTTTGGACTGCATGAACGGAGCCCTACATGTAATTATAGGAATTACGAAAGCCTTGTTGTCATCTCCCGTTTACTTGCTACAGCCAGTCTCCTGCCCAAACGGTAGCAAATGTTGATAACATCATATGTGACCATGATATCCGATGGATTGATGCTATTTTTCCACGCTCATGCCGATGGAAAAGGTAGGGCTGTCAGCAAACTATGAGACTACTCCTAGGATATACCGGGCCATTCTTAGGATGGTGGTTGCACTTCTGAAGGCACTCCGATATACTAGTGACTTTATTTGACCTCATACAATTAGGGCTTTGGGCTTTTCGCTCTTCCTTGAAACATATTTTAGCTTCGTGTACGGCTTTATTACACCTGTCCAGGAATAATGCCAAAGCCTACTGGCTTTGCCTTCAATGAAACAAACTGGGGGAAAAAGCATAATGTTTCATCTGTAATCAATTTGTATCATAGTTCGAGCGCCACACAAGAGTCAGAGCTGATAAGGGCGGTGTAAATGGTATTCAAGAGTCATTTTCTGATGCAAAGCAAGCTATCCAGCCAAATAGTTGAAACGCCAACCGACTGTGACCGATATAGACCATGAAGCATTCACCATAGCCTGCTAACTTGAGGGCTATCACTTTTCAGTTGCAGTGACGTAATAATATGATGCCTTGACCAAGGGCCATCTTTATGAGGGCTAAAGAGGCATGTAGAAATCAAGGTTTGACGATATAAAATCTATCTGCCTCGCGTATTTTCCACTGCACTTTTCCATAAGTCGCCAAAATTACACACAATGACGAAAAACAATCAGGTCAACCCCAGTCGATCTCCGACTGTGTGGGTTGATCAATCTGCTTTCTTCCATGAGCACCCGAGCTCAAAACCAATTGCTTCTCCCGATATCCAACCTTCGCCGAGTCAGATGATGACCGCCGCTGCAATAGCAATCGGTTCGAAGAAATCACTCCCGGATCACCCAAAGCGAAGCATCCCACAGCTGAACCAAAACCCATGGGATACTTTCGAACCTGTTGCCGCATCATCGCATGATCGGTCTCTGATCTTTGCCCGACACAAGACGATGAAAGGAGAGTTGGTGCATATCCAACAACTCAAGCAACAGTTCTCACCCGCTAAAGATTTCCTAGAACTGATGGAACAAATCTCTCATCCAAGCTTTCTGAGGTTGCTCGAACGTTACCACCATGACGCATCCTACACGTTGGTCTGGGAGCCAACGGAAGTGTCAGTCAGTCACATTTTAGCCTCCAGCTGCTCGATTACCACCGATGAACTGGTTGGAATTGTCAAACCGGTGAGTCACACATAATCATCTTGCAGATGCAGTCGTAGCTAACTCAGAATAGGTATTGGAAGGAATACAATATCTGCGCGGGCTTGGAAGAGCACTCGCCACCCTGGGCCCGGAAACGATCCTGCTCACACAGTCCGGCGATGTTAAGATCAGTAAGGCATCCGCATATATGGTGGGAATTTACGAGGACTAACTTTCCCTAGTGGGCGTCGAGAATAGCTGCCAGATCAATGAATCGGAGATGAATTTTGCGACGATGAAATTATGCGCTCTAGCTGATGTTGTCACAAAATTGATGCTGAGGAATCCTACCTACGAGTGGGAACCCAAGATCAAAAATTTGCCTTGCCAGCTGGAAAGCATATCCGTTGAGGAACTCTTGAAGGTAAATTCATTCCGTCTCTCCAAATTCTCCGCTAAGGTGACAGAATGCGATGTTTACCAGAGGGTCATGCGAAGGAGAGTTGAAATTGTTGGTCAGTGTAGCCAACAAGACTGCTTATCACGGTATTAAATCTTACTATGCTTGCTGCTGAACGAAGAACTCATTGGTGTTGACTTGGCTCTTTGCTTCAGGGCCTAACAAGTCGAGAAAGATCTCACTATCCTACGTTCATCTTTGCTGCTCGGACACTATATGTGGGACATAAGGGAGGCTAGGAGTGGTATTTCAATAGACAAAATATGGTATCGCGGGTTGTAGTTTACAAATGCGTTTTCTAACGAAAGACTTGTCGCAGGTTCGCAATAGCTCCGCGATTTGCGGCCTGTTGTTAAAATAAAACCGTTTCTTATATGAGCCATTAGTTTTGGTCTATTTGCATTCGGTTGTCGCCTATTGAGATTAGACTTTATGTAATACAAGGCATGCGGTGCTTCTGTTATTTTTTGGACATGATCGTACATACCAGGTGGCCAAAATACTACCGTTATTTCCCACGGTACTTTGCTGGAACGAGAACTCAAGATTCACGTTCAATGACCAATAAAGATAGATAGAACATTGATGACTAGGACTATGATGGTAGCTACTTGGGTGGATTTTGTGCTTTGCAGGCGGTTCTGATTGTGCTAGATGTTCTGAACTCTCCAGTCTATATACCTCAAAACTGCAGCACCCCATAGCTCGTTCTGATATTTATGCAGGTCTATTTACCCTGGCAGCCACATGAACAAGACGACGAGCGGGAACTTTCGGTCTCGCCGGTGTCGGCTGGATCGGTGATTGGAATTGGTCCGAATGTAGGATTTCCAGTACATACTGGTTCGCTTTCTGGCGGACGATTTTTGCTATCACCATTATATTCAACAATGCTTCCAGGCCAAGGGAAGCGGACGTCTACATTTTCTCTTTTCATGCAACCGTTCACGTTGGCGAGAAACATTGGAGGAAACGCAGGCGATTGTTTGGGCATGTGGTCGGACGAATTTGACGGCGAGTCATTGGCCACGGTGATGGGTGCGCAATTCATGTACATCTCACGATTGCCGACCCAATTGAACCACGTCCAGGCCAAGGTGTATTTCCCAGGTGCAATACCCTCAGGGATCGCGAAGTGGAGTTGGAGGGAATGGTCCGACTCGGCACTCCCATTCAGATTCCAGGGTACTTTTGCAGGGCATCCCCCTTCGTATGACTTGATGACTTTCCATTCCGAATTAATTGTCGGCTCGCGATCACTGGTGAGGCTCACCTGGCAGGACCCACCGCCATGGGTGGCGCTGCCCAGAAGCTTGATGATATTGTTGCTCCCCGTCCGATAAGTCGCCTCTTCAGTCGGAACGTTAAAGTCACCTGGGGATATCTTGCAGGAAAGCCACTATCATCTGCTGCAAGTGGCGAGTTGTCAAGTGTCTTCCTACTAGATCAGTAGGGCTCGGGAGACGCCATTATCAGGTGCGCATATGTCGGCGAAAATGCAACTGCCTGCAAAAGCAGACAACATTTCACGAGTATCATAGTAAAAGGCGAGATGGCCTCCTGTGGTCAAATAAAGTTAGATACCATGTAGCTGAAGGTTATACTATGATTGGCTGCGGCTTATATATCTCCAAGTGCACATGAGAAGGACGCTTGAGCTGTTAAGGCTGCCGAGGATATGTGATCCATCACAAAAGCACAGTCTAATTTAGCTGTTCTTTCGATTTAAGATGGCTGCCGCCGAGTACGAGAGACAATTGGTTTTCAAACGCATGTGGTTGTACTCGTTGAACGAAAGAAGTGGTGAGACTACCATTGTAATGAAAAGGTTGTCACATCCGAAAGGGAAGTGGAGGTCCCTTTTTTAACTGAGTCACGACGATTCACCAGTCCTGGTATGATCTGTCACCAATTCAACGATGGATTTTAGGCGCTGGCTTTCTTCGACAATGTCAAAGCTATTCACGTACTGCCCTTGTGTTGAGTTCCCTTTGTCATAAAGTGCAGGGCTCCTTATAGACCACAATTTCTCTATCAAGTCACTACTACCAATCTCGTAAATTAAATCGTCCGCTCGATTCCTCTTTGATTGTATCATCCTACTTCGTGTCCACTCTCAGTGATAGCCAGCGAAGAATCCCAATATGGTTGTTCAACCAAAGCTGAAACCCAACCCAGCCGACGCAGTGAATCAAAAAGCACGCAGGAGAAGAAAGTCCCTTTTCAAAAAGGCCTCCGAGTATAGCTTGGAATGCGATGCCAATATCCATCTCGTCCTTCGGATGAAAAAGTCTGGGAAGATCTTCGTTCTGGCCTCAAATACAAAGGATTTGCCTCTTTCTCAAAACCAATTAGTATGTTCTCTGGATCATCGATTTCGTCGCCAGACAGGTACTGACTTTATTCCAAGGGATCTTATCATCCTACGCCCATCCAAATGTCTCTAAGCGACCCAGAATCCAAGCAATGAATCTCAACCATGCTGGCAACAGGTTTCACCCTCAATTGGATATCCTTGTAGGGTCCTCCTAATTTGTTCAGTCGAACCCCTTGCAACCTATATCCCTCCCGAAACTATTCTCCCCTTATCACTCTGTGCAAGGGATTAACTCCCTAAAAGCTTCTGCCGTGCTCTACGAATCAGGACGCGTACTCTGGGCTCTGAAGGGTGTTCAAATTTGATCAATTCTATATCATTCATGTATAGATGCTGGGGAAATGTATGACAAACTCAGTCCCATCACGTTCAAGGGTATAAACATTCACCTTCGTGGAAGGGACATACGATGGGTTCGCCACCTGAAAGGCGAAACGCGGTAGGAATCAATGGTAAATAGAACTCCAAGGTCAACATTGGCTCACCTAGCCAGATCGGAATGCCCTTTACTTAAGCTAAACCTTCTCTGGTACCTATCTCAGCTTTCATAATAGTTCCAAGTACGAATTGCAATGCATGGCCTGGCTGCTCAACCAGGATACCTCCAGTGGGCTGAAATTGAAAGGCATCTTGACAAACATCGCTGGGCAACAAACTTGGCCGCAGATAGAACCAGACTTGTTGATGACATATCCCTTGTATATATCTTCACTGATCTGTAAATGTTTATCCCATTCTATCCCATCCTGCGAGTGGTCTATCGCGCCGACCGAGATTGACGACATTCGCTTAGCAAGCGTAAAACAGCGTCCTCTCAGGCACGATTTAAAACCCGTCGATTGGATCCGGTCAAATATCGCGGCAGGGCGAGCGAAGCGTGCGTCGCCGCGGTTGAAGCCGAAGAAAAAAACGGTCATTGGGATATGTAGGATAAAAGCGTTTGTAATGATCATCCATAGAACCCACTGCACCTTTCTCATGTCGGAGATAACGAGGTGCAGACGCGAGTAGAGGACGACAGCTTGGCCGGTAACCATGGCGTACCATCCTATCATGAAGGGGATGGACGTCGGGAGGTTGGACGCCTGAGAAACAAAACGAGCCATAGCAGGAATGGCATGCAAGAGAATGCCCCAGGATGCAAATTGCATGCTCCAGAAATAGAGGCCCCTGTAGCGCTTGAATGTGTCGAACGTGACAATCCCTGTTTCTAGGGCATTGTACGCGCCGATTGAGAACATGGACACGATCTGGATGATGGAGATGTTCTCCATGAGGATGGCCCCAACATTTGGTGGCAGGCTGGTCATGAGTGTATCCATGGTCTAATAGGGCTTAACGAGTACAAAGAAGGCTAGAGGTGTAGAGGATAAACGATCAGCAGCTTGGTTTATAAAAGCCTCCGAACCGAGAACTGTCCTCGCAATGAGATCATGACATCGTAGCTAGGGGGCTCCTTGGAAGCTCCACAAACGTCTGGACTCTTATCGTCTTGGGAGAATATGCTTGGTTGGATTCCCAGTGGTCTGAATGGGTCTAACGGGTAAGTTAGCTATGGCGAAACCAGAGTAACTTGTAGTTGGGACTGAGGCATACAATTGAGTTTTCAATCCATGCCACAGTTATTTTTGACGTGAAGGAAAGCTTTCCCACTATTCTCAAGTCATAGAGCTAGTTTCACGACGACTGCAAAACCGAGGGCGGGATCGTCGGCCCATGACTGATCGCCTCATCCTGAATCTTGACAAATGATTTTCGATGAACCATGGAAACGCTGGCTCGGGGAGAACATGGGATTATCCATGGATAATTAGGATTTAGTTTCGATCTCATCGGAAACCTTACCAATAAACTACTGCTCCACCTGCTTTCTAGATCGGCCGTGGTTGAAGTTGTCCCTACAGTAATAGGAGAATTATGAAGAATCGAGTATACTCACCGCAGGCATATTCTTTGGAATATTATGAAATAGCACTACTGTATTCAAAATATTGTCAATTTCCAGAGTTTGAGGACGGGTAGAATGAGCCGGATGCTGGAAAAGGAGTGAGACCGCAGATGGTCGGCCCACACCGCCCACACTTGGCATTTCCGGGAGCCAATCGGTTTCTCGGCCTTTCAGGGAAAAACCGGAGAATATGTTTATGTAATCCCAGCCGGTCCGTCCAAAGCTCATGTTTGTAAGCTGTCGTCTAGTGTTACAAGGCTGGCGATCCAATCTGGGCAGATGGAAAGCGCAGATTTCGGATTCGAAGGGAGTATACTCATTAGGGAAGATAGTACAGGAGAGATACATACCTTCTTGAACATCCTTCAAAGGACGAGACTAACAAGAACCAACAGGTCGCCACTCCGACTCGACTAGGGCCAAGTTACTTTCTTGTGAGAGCAGGTAGGAGAACCCGACCATGGATTGCTTTTAGCCTACCATTTTTTTGCTGGACACCTGCGTGATATTTATTCCAAATACCTCAACTGCCGTACCTGTGAGGGTGGTCCCTTCAGAAGGACCAAGCAACAAAGGTATGTTGCATCATTACTTGTCCGTCGAGACTGGCTTGTGTATCGTGTCTGGACCTTTGAAAAACTTTGCTATTTCTTCTCTGGGCTACAAATAGAACCTCCTTGATCTATTGTCCCGTGGGTCATCACCGAGGTTTTTTTATCACAGGACCGTACCAGCGTCGGTCCTTATTCACACGCGGTGTTTGATTGGTCCTGCAAGTGCTTCCTTTGTCCAGGGTCTTATCAGAGTGTGATAGTAGCGTTACAATCTTGTGGGGTAAAATGGCGATCGTCGAGGGCCACAGCTAATGAGCCTTGGTAGCTGAAATGCCTCAAATGGTTGCCCTGGAAACTAAGCCCAGGTTCCTGTTATGGCTTTTTCGACACGATCTAGAAGTCTCATAGTCAGTTATGGAACCATGGTGAGCTTTGAGGAATGTAGCACGAGTGGCAATGGTTGGTCCAACTTGGATTCCAAATCCTAGTTCCATAGAACAAAGCCCTATACATGTCCTAAGATGATTTCTGGATTGTTTTCTTCTCCGAATGAAATGGATGTCTTTATGGCCCAACTTTCGGAAACTTTTGTAATAGTGGGATCGTGTAAATAGTGGAAGTTACATCTGGGACAATAGTACAACTACACCACACATGGCTGAGGACAGAGAGTCCTTCTTGATTCCAAGAGCGGCTCGGATGGTTCGACCAGAGTCGATACTGAGACACAACCGTACACCCTAACGTAGATCCCGATATGGGGCTGTCGATCACTTACTCCACAATAAAACCGCAGATCTTGTGCTTTCGCGCTAGCGCACCGTGGGGCCCCTGTGTCAATGGGCACTTGGCT